AGATATAAGGTTCTTTGACCTAAATCTAGGGTTCTTAAGGCAGTGAAAAACTTGATAAATTTAAATAGGGTCTACCTAGGCTTTTCTTGGGATTGGAGGATAATTTCATTAGTTTTCTGAGGTTTTGAGGATCTCCTAAGGTAGAATCTGAAGTCTGGGATTTTTGAGGAATTTTTGGGATTTTTTTTATAAGTTTTAGGAATTCAGAGGATTTTCCTAATTTTGGTTATTTTTCCTAATTTCGAGATTTTCTCTATTTTCTAATGATTTCTTAGGGATTTTTTGATCTTTTTCTGGTGTTTTTTTGATGTATTTTTTTTAGTTTTGGAGGGAGTAATTATAGGCTTCAACTAAGGATTTTTCTCATTTTTTGGATTTATCCAAATTAGAGATCACCTATACTGCATTATCAGCCCGTGCGATGCGTTACACACATAGTTAGCAAGTCTCCATTTAAAACATGATTTGTTTCAAAAAAATCTTTAAATTTTGAAATCCGTTAAGAGCTTCGAGTTGTTCTTTCAAGTGGCATAAAAACATTCCTAAGGATTTCACCGTTTTTTTTTTAAAAAAAATTAGGGTTCGTATAGAACCCTAATTTCTCGTATTATTTCATGGTAGACCCCCTTTTCGTTTTTCTTTCAAGTGGTATAAAGAAATCCCTAAGGATTTTACCATACCCCCTCATCTTTTATCTCCCTCTTTTATTGACTTTTGACTATAAAATTTAGCCTCAATAAATCTTTTTATACCATTTCATCTAAAAAAAAAATTAACCTTCTTTTTCCCTTTCCACCCATTAAAAAAGTTATTGGGTTGAAATGGTATAAAAAGATTTGTTAAGGTTAATTTTTATGATCAAAAGTCAATAAAAGAGGGAGACAATAGATGATGAGGTATGGTAAAATCTTTAGGGGTTTTTTTGTGCGGCTTGAAAGAAAAACGGAAAGAGGGTTTATTATGAAATAATGCGAGAAATTAGGGTTCTATACGAAATTTTCCCTTTTTTTAATGGAATTGATATAAATCCATGATTTATCTTTTTTAGAAAAGACTTCTTCTGTATAAATTTTTTATTCATTAACTTAATATTATTGAATTTTAATCTAAAAATAAGTACATTAATAGTGAGAGTAAAATTAAGTATATTGATTTAACAAAAACTTCCATAAAAAAATTTCACCAATGAGTTCCCTTAAAAGAAGGGTGCAAGAAAACAGAAGCAATATATTCCCCAAAAAACATAATCAAAACAATTGTATATCTTAAAATAATAGGTAGAATTACAAGAAGAGTAACCAATGATTTTTTTTCTTTAAACCCATAGCATTCTTATAAGAGTAAGAGAGAGATTCAATGGCACCAAAGATTTAGGTAGCTAGGAATTCATTGCACGATTCAATTTGCTTAAGCATTTTGTTGTTTTTTTTTATGTATAGAGAAGTTTGATTAATTTGGTCTTTTTTTTTTTTTCTTTCATTGGTGCATACAACATAGCATTTTAGATGGACCACTGTTTTACATATTTAAATCTTTGTGTTTTCTTTTAATTAATTACAATCCTATTTTGCATGCATATTTGGATCTTTCTGTTTTTTTGTTGATAAAATTATGCTTTTAATAAAAATATGTTGTTTGATGAATATGACAAAACAATCGATTCTTCTTTTTTTGATGTCATATTTTTTCTAACAAAAAAAAATAAGTGCATAATAATGTTCCTCGATATTTTGCTTAATTTTTTTTACTCAAATTTTTTTTATTATGGTTTTTTAAGTGCATGATATAGCCAAAAATATGCTTGTTAAGTATGCACGTTAAATCAATGCTGAAGTAAATATCCAATGGTTGTGATGCAGCATGTTGATTCACTTTTATGAAATCTTTGCAAGTTGAGTTTTCTGATTTTTTATATGCTTTGTTGGGTGAATGTAGTCATTAAAGGCCTGATGGGCACCTGTAAAATGAAATGATATAGTGGAACATAAACTCCATGGGTGTGTGGTCCCTAAGCAAATTATGTTTGTTGATATCGAACTGTGCTTGACTGTCTAAGGCAGTTGGTTGGAAAAAATCTATGTTACCTGGGCATAAAAAATTACCCAATAAGGGTTTTAATGGGTCATGCCTTGATGAGATCGGAGTATGTCCGGAAGAGTAAACCGATGGACTGTGTGACCCTTGTGTATGATGGTGAGCTTCAGAGACGGGGGCCAAAGCCTCATCCATGTACCATCACACGTCATGTATAATGATAGACCGTTTCCGGAAAACGAACCACCTTTTAAGGTGAAACTTATGCATGTGCGAGAGATACCCCTATGCATCATAAGTGTTGTTGTCACATCAGGTCTGGGTGACCTTGACATGTCTCTAGGGGACAACTTGAAATCCACAAAATGGGATTACGACCCTTTAGCTCATCGGTCAGACTTTGGTGACCCACTAATGAACCCTTGCATGGACTGTGGGTCATGGGAAACACTGGGTCAGTTTGATAAAACAAGTGTGGTCTGTAGTCCATAGTTAAAGGTGAAGTGTCCCAGTGTTTTACTGATTTAATTCCTAGACCATATGGATCCTTTTCCCATCTAATGTATTTAATTATGTTTGTTTTATGATATATATGATTTTAAAATTATTATTTGAATTTTTCTAGATCTCTGAATATTTTATTTATCAAATTTAGATTTATAAAATTAGAGATATTGATTTAAATTGATTTAAATATTCAAATAAATTCTAAAATTATTTTATTGAGTTTTAAAATTATTTAAAATTGTTTGGGGGCACATTGTGTACATGGGCTCTATTATGGCCTAAATGGTGGGGCCCATAAGATCCTCTCATGGGTGGCACACCCCACCCAGTTAGAAGCTTTCCATTTTTGCGATGAGTGACGATGGCTTGTAGGGCAAGTTGCTTTGTGTTTTGGAAAGGTATTGGCTTGAGGAAGCTTTGAATGAATTTTTGGAAAGCATGAGAAGGCTTGTGCATTATCTTGGTATGCACAATATTATATTTGGAATTATTTTATTTAATTTTTATTAATGAGAAAATAGTTTAAAAAATATGGATAAATGTTCTAGCACATTCTATTATGTTGATGGCCCATCTATAGAATGAATGCGTCAAATCTTTCACCGTACAAGTCACCCAAGTTCAATGATTCATATTTAATCTTACAAGAAGAGGCAAGCCAAGGAAAACCCTAAAAAACCATAATTTGGTTCAAAGCCTATGAAAACGAGATTATCTCTACTTAAAATCTCTACACACCTTATTTTTCTATATCTCTCTCATGAAAGTCACAATGGGGCACGCTCCACTCTCTCATCATTGAGATCTCTCACTCCTACATTGTAAAAAGGGGCTAAGGGTTTAAGCTATGAAGTTCTTCTCTCTTTCATCTCTCAACTATGGATTTATAGCTAAGGGTTTTAGGGTGTAGAAAAAGAGAATCTATTTCTCTCAAACTAGGTTATTAAGGGAATTCACCTGCGGTTTGAGTTTGTGATCAAATGGGTTCATGTTCCATTGGTGTGGCTTCTCCTAAACTTGCTTTTCTGGTGGAGATTGAAGGATGATTATTGATCCCGCGCCATCGGATGGTGTTGACCGGTGTAGGATGTAATAAGCCCGGTTGAGGTAATCTCCAGCCCTCTCTTTTTGTTTATTGTCATATTTAATTATATTGTCTTTATATTCCTAAGCATAAGAATTATGGATATTTTTTTTGTTTAAAGAAAATTGATTTAATAGCATCAAGGTTCTTAAGATCTTAGATTTGTTAGTTTTATTTTATTTGAAGCAAGAGTTATTGTAATAAGACTATTGTAAGTGATCTTTATCAAAAGAAAAGAAAAAAGAAAAAAAAAAAAAAGTGAAAAGAAGAAAAAAAAAAAAAAAGTTCCCAACAAGATCGCATTAGTCTTTATTTCATGCTTCAAATAGTGATTTCTGTTTATCATGATTCGTGATGACATGCTTCAAATAGGAAAATAAATTTTGTTATGAACTGGATGCAACATGTACTTCTTAGCTTGTATGCGCCATGAGCATGAATGTTTTGTTATGCATATGCTTGTGTGATGACTCAATATTAATGCATCTTTTGACGCCTCGTGTGAGAGTTGCTTCTCTATTTTGGAACCTCTTCTTTGAGCACATATGCAACTCACTGATCCCTTTTTCTTTGACCCATTCGTTGTATTTTATCTTAATCTATTGATCACTTAGTGTTGGGGTTTTATTGTAATCTATTGATCTTTCATTTTGTTCTTTGACTTTGGCATTTGACAGAATCCCCGTGTGTTCTTTGTTGCAAGTCTAACGTTATGGGTTGAAAATATTTATGAGATAAATTTGAGAGGGTTTGATAATTTTTTTTGTTTAGAGGTAAAATTTTACTTTTGGGAGAAGAATGTGGTTAACAAGGTCTCGGTAATTTGAGAAATTGAGGCGCCAATAGTATGGTTAACAATGTCCATAGCATTCATATATTAATTTATATAAAAAATTGTTTCAATTTTTTTTGGATAAAATAAAATGTAGGCAATAAGACAGTATCTGCTTAATCTAAATTTTTCTATTTTTTTTAATTTTATTGGGGTTTTTGACCAATTTAAAAAAATAAAAATTTATTGGACCAGCTAGTTTGGTTTCAGTTCTAACCGCTCCTAACCCATGTCCGGTTAACCGTTTTGGTTTGAATTTACAATCACCGGTTTCTATTCAATTTTGAAGTATTATTTGGTTCGAATTTATGAACACTGGTTTCTATTTAATTTTGAAGCATTATTTTTTTAAAGTTCATGGGCAATTTGGAAATTTCTTTTATCAAGTGCATCATTTTTTTCTAGATTAGGAGTTATGTTTTTGAAGGTGTTAGTGGGGTGGCGTCAGGGGTATTTCACTTCCTCGAGAGCGTGAAATCATTTGGCTTCTGTGTAACTTTTGACGGACCTCAGTGCTCATGAGCACAACACTGTGAACCCTCTTCTAACTCCTTTATCCTCACTGTAAGATTAGTAAAAGCCCTTTATCCTCACTGTAATATTAGTAAAAGCCCTTTATCCTCACTGTAAGATTAGTAAAAGCCTATCCAAATTTCAGAGCCCAGTTTTCTCCTCAATCTCTCTCTCCAAAAAGCGCTGAACTGCCCCTTCTTCCTTTGTTTTTATGCTCCACCTCCTCCAAATGCAAATGCAGGCCAAAACTCTCCTTGTTCAGCCCCCTCTCTTCTCTCTCCCTTCGAATCACGGAAACAAACACACTATCCGAACCCGCCACCACCACAAGCCCGCCTCTCCTGGCTCAGCTCATCTCTCCTCTTTTGTAACAAAGGCTAGGCGAGCTCTCCGGCTATTGGCCACCACCGATGAATTCGCGGTCGAGAATGACGGCTTCCTGGAGGGATTCAGAGCCCGAGACAAGATAAGCGAGGAGGAATCTAGGCGTCGGAATTGGGTGGAGAGGGGTTGGGCCCCATGGGAGGAGATTATGACTCCTGAGGGCGTATTTGCTCGGGAGAGCCTCAACGAGGGGGAGGAAGTTCCCCTCCAAACGCAGGAGGCCATCGAGGCCTTCAAAATGCTGTCCCCAAAATACAGGAGGAAGAAGATGGAGGAGCAGGGGATGAGTGAGGATGAGTATTTGAGGAAGCAGTTTGAGATAAAGGGAGCGATTCCGGAGCCCATAAAGACGACGTGGAATGGGCCAATGGTGCTGGCGTTGGTGCCCCCGAGGGATTGGCCGCCACCGGGTTGGGAGGTGGATGCCGATGAGCTGGCATTCATCCGTGAGGTGCATAAGATGCAGGCCGTGCGGGTTGATCCCAAAGAGTTGGAGAACCCGAGGGATGCTACAGATGCTTCTTTCGCTCGGTATCAGGTGTTTGTGAAGCAGTACAAGGAGTGGGCCGCCGCCAATAGGGAGAGGTTGGAGAAGGAGTCTTATGAGGTTTCCTTTCTGCCTCCCTTCTATCTCTCTATTTAATTTTTCCCTGTTCCTTTCCTCTCTCTAAATACCAGAATTTCAAATTCTTTGAATCTTGTATACTCTCCAGTTATTCAGGTCATATTTTGTTTGTTGTTCTTTAGTCTAAAAATTGCTGCTCTGGTTTTGCCTCATCCGGGTAGTATTGGGTTGAATGGAGAACCCTACTTTTCTGTGGAGATTAAAATGTGAGAGACATTTTGCTCACATTTTTTTGCTATTAATAACTTGTTGCTTTGGAAGGCCTTTCTGGTGGCTTGAGGATATATCTAACCACTAACCACATTGTACCGAAGTTTTCGCTTTAATGGAGTGAAAAAAGATAGTGGTTGAGGGTTATGAGTCCGTTAACATTCGCCACACATAACAGATGCACTGTAATTGCTGTTATATGAAACCACAATATGTTCACCATGGCTTAACTGCTCAATTCCTCCATGTTCAGTGGAGACACAATTCTTGATGATTTATCATGTCTTTGCTAGTTTGAATTTCTTTTGCAGAAAAATGAAAAGATTGTTTTGCAGCAAACTTGTAGAATAATGATGTACACTGCTTGTCCCAAGCAGAAATCATTTTTGTCTCAACGGTAATGCTTATTGCTTCAATATTGATGAAAAAAATATCCCACCTACAAACAAATCAACCAGAGGCGTGTTGAAATAGAGGTTTATAAAACTGTGAATAAACCATTTCATGATAGTATGCCTGTGAAATTTATGATGTTCATATATCAACTATTGCCTGTTGATCTGTAGGTTGATCTCTAATGTTGATGTGAACTGGAATAGAAAGAGCTTCATGAACCACTGTGCCATAACTTTTATTCCATACCTGACTGCTCTCATTTTATGGGAAAGGTCAATCACTCGCTCTTGTGATCATTGAACAAATAGCCTAATGTAATTCTTCAATGGTCCTTGTGCAAGTAAGGGGATGTCCTTCCTTAGTTGTAATGTCACGTAAACAATATCTGCCTGGTAGCATATTTGCAATTTGATATTTTCTGCTGGTGTGAAACTATTGTTTACCTTTTGCTGCATGGGTATTGAGTCTCTCATATTCTCTTGGCAGGTTGACCAAGATTACCACCCTGGTAGGAGGAAGAGAGGCAAAGATTACAATGAAAATATGGTAATGGTGAATGCATAGATGTTCAGGATTTACTTCTTTAAAGTGGTGCTGATAAAAAAGCATTGCTTGAGTATGTTTTTGGTTTCTTTTTATATTGAACTTTTACTTGAACGGATGATTTTAGCAATGTGTACTTTTCCCTGCAGTTGGAGCTCCCATTCTTTTATCCAGGACAGGTAAATCATTCTTTATACTAGTAATGAGATTTCATATTAAGATAGGATCCAACTATATGTCTTTTTTAAGTTTCTGTCTGACATTATTTAAGGCCCCAATTAATTCATAAATTGACATAGAAGACAATCACTTTTATTTTATGTATATAAATTATACTAGAAAGGCACAGTGGTAGGCTGAAAACCAAGAGTGGAATTGTGTTTTTCAGTACTCAACTCATTTTGTTTAAGCGCATCTGATGTAGTACTAAGGGGCTTGGGTCCTAGACAACTGTAACATGCATGAAGGGCTTGGCTTAGAAAGATGAGTTAAGGTTGAGGAATTATGGGTTATTTATGTGTTGGGGTTTTGGGGCCTTTAAAGGCCGAGCATGCAAAATGATATTTATAGTGGATTATGCACTTCTGTGGGAGTGTGCATGTGTTGACTAACCAAGGATTAAGTGGTTTGTGGCCCTAATTATATCTTAAAACCATTACCCCTGGGCATGTGGCAGTACCGAGAAGGATTTATAGTGAGTGGGTCATCCCTTGTTGGGGTCAGAGAGAGGCCTAGAGATGATGTTTGTACACTGTGAGAACTGTGTGATCTCCTATGTATAAATGACAACCGTAGTACTGGGAAGCATCCCTGTAAAGAGATATGCGTACATGTGTATAGAGAGAGTCCCCTTTGCACTGTAGTGGTAGTGTTAGACTTACTCTTAAGGAGGGAACTGAAATTCACATTTTGGGATTACAATATCACTGTTTTTTGGCCAACTTTTACGTGCTAATCATGAGTCCCTGCATAGATTCTGAGTCATGGGTCTTTGTTGGGTTGGTTTGAGAAGACAATTGTTGATTGTGGTTACTGAGGTTGGTGGAGTGCCCTTATAGTCACATATTTGACTCATTGGTACTATTTCACTACTAGATATTCTATTTTTGGTATTAGAAATGTTTCTATAAATTTTAGAATTTTTTTTAGAATTTTTAAAATTTATTTCTGTTGTACCTGTAAAATCTTTAAAAAGGGTATTTTCATAGTTAAATAAATAAGGGCGCATGTGGGGACCTTGGATACAATCCCCACATGTGTGCCACTCCCTATGGGTGGGACATGTGGCCTATGGGGCCCACTTGTGGACCATAGGGGTGGCACCCACCCTTATATTATTTGTGTGCTAAAATTAATTGAAGTTGTTAGTTAGAAAATCTTTTAAAATAAAACATGTTGTCGCCTATTCTTGTAGGAGTTAGTTTTGACCAAATCATATTATTTTTTGACTCCCTACAATTTTGGTAAGAGATAATAGGAAGATATAGATAATACTAGAGCGGTTATAATTCTATTTAGACGAGAAGTTGGAAATGGGTCATAAGGGGATAGAGTGTCCTCCCTAAATCATGATCGTTTATTTATAAGATAGATGACTCAAATTTAAATCTTTGTCACTGACAAATTTCCTTAGTCCCTATTGGTGAAGCTGTATCATTGGATAAGACATACCTAGAGAAGGATTTATAACATATGAAAGAGGTGTTTCCTTCTAAAATTAAAAAGCACAAGTTCGCCTCTCTTTCTCTCTCTCTCTCTCTCTCTCTCTCTCTCCCTTTCCTATCTCTTTTTCTTCTCCACACCCCATTCTTCTCTCCCTCTTATTTGTTTCTCTATTCTCATCCTAAATGTAGCACGCCTCCATAAAATAAGCTTATAGGGGGGTGGCACTTTGAAACCCTAGATTAGGGTTTTGCTGTTTGCAAAAGGCAGAGGGGGTGTGGCCAGCCTAGGGAGATATAAGCCTTCAGGCCCAATCCAAATATTTGTTCCTAAAGCCTACAAACCCTAATTAGTTTTCTATGCTCTCTAAAACCCTAGAGAAAGAGGTATTGCCTATGAGAGCGCTTCCCATCTTTGAAATTTCAGCAAGATCAAAAGGACAAAAGTACGACATCGTTCAGGAAATTGGGTGTGGGTTGTATCAAGTCCTATGGGGTTCACCCTAGGCATGATCAAGTAAGCCTTCCTGGCTGTTTTTATTTATTTATAGTCATATGTGCATACTTTTTGTGATTTTTCAAGAATATATATGGTACTTAAATTCATAGTGGATGGCTGGATATTATTCATGGGTTGTGTTTATTTTCTATGGCAGTAAAAGGAAAGGTCATAGGTTGTATTTAGGGTTTTACTTTAATTTACAGAATTGTATTATGGCCCATGTAAGTGGAATTCAGTTATATTAATAAAAGAAAAAGATTCTTTTTTTGAATTTATAACCTTGACTTCCATATATTTACACCTTACATTATGGACAACAAGGTTACGTTTTTTGTTCTAGTATAGGGAGGACAAGATGATGTGGATCTTGAGGAAGGTAGGGAATGATTTATGGTTATGCAAAATAGTTTGTTGGGTTTTGGATGATGTCTTGTGTGTGAAATAATGGTAGGTGACTTGAACGAGTAAGGCAAAGATGAATCTGAGCTACTACCCTTGATACTTGAGGGAGGACACCTATCAGAAGACCGACTCCCTTGCTTTTGTTGCCAAATGAGCTACCTCTCTCCTTTGCTTTCATCGAAGAGCATCCCTAATGACTCTTAGAGGGATGGATTACACCAACCATCATAGAATCCTCGAGGGAGTATACCAATCGAGTAAGTAGAAGACCATAGATAGAAGATAACCAAACCACTATGTCTCTGTCTATTCTAGGAAGGACATACAAGGTAACTAAACCAGTAGTTAGAGTCGAAAACATGTCTTTCGTTTATCTCATTTAGAGAGAAGATAGCCAACCACAATATATATAGTACAATAGAATCCAAGCAGAAGTTTCCGAGGGCTTTTTACTGCTGGGAGCCTTGCCAATAGTTTGACCTTGCAAAACCCTCTAGAGTACTTTGACATTGCAAAGCACTCACTCAATTTCGGGCTGCTACCACTAGCTTTGCTCATTAGGTGTGTCCTTTTGACCCTTCGCCTGCCTGCCACCTGCGAGAGTAAGCTACCTATGAGTCCATTTCTTTTCGCAAAGGACTGAATCCAGCCACGTGCTTACCCAAAATGTGCAGGTTCAGTACAATTGATGGCTGGATTTGAAGCAAATGAGGTGAGGTTGGGGCTTTATTAGGTTTGGAGGGCTTAGAGGCATCACTGATGGGGTTGGGAAGGAGGTGGACTATGTTACTATTCTCAAGGGTCGATTTTATTGGGTAGAGATAGGGTAACAAATTTTGTCGATGGAATCTTGAATAATGAAGTGCTACACAAGAGGGAGAGAAGGGGCCCATGCTTACGTAGGAGAACCTTCACTCTAAAAGTTAGGAAATATGAAGGGAGGCTCTAGCCTTTAGAGGCAGACTCTCCCAAACCAAGGATAGAGTTGTAGAATTACTCGCTACCATTGGTTGCTCTATTTCTGGAAGCTTGATTGGGGCAAGGGATCTTGATTCCAACCTATTGGGGGTCTAGATCCCTGGTTAATGGGATCCAGATCCCTCTCATCCAAATGATGGGCAAATGAGTAAGTGGAATCGAGTTTCTGCCAATGTAGAATTGAGTTTCTTTTACATTGGTACCAAAGATCCTCTGCATATTTCGTGTCTCTTGCACTAACCCCCCCACCACCCATCCTCTCTTTCACTCTCTAGTCTATAATCTTTCTCTCTGTGCAAGAACATATTTTTCTTAAAATTCTGAAATCTGAATTGGCTTGTAGTATAGAGATCAACCAGTTGAGAAGTAGTCCTAGTGCCCCCAATGACAACTATGGTTTGAAGCTTGAAGTTTGAACTTTAAACTTGTAAGTCATGAAATTTAACACCATAAGATATAGTAAGTCATGAAATTTAACACCATAACATACATATTGCTGCTGTATTATGTTATGGAACCCTTAGACGAAGGAGAGCAATTGCAAAAGCTAAAGCTTTGCCATGTCCTGCCCTAAATCCTTTTCATGAAGTTCTATAAGCTTTATACAATTGGTTTTTGTCTCTAATGCCCTCTCTTGACCATATCCACCATTACAAAGATATTTTCCAAGGTGAACCTTTTTTTGCCTTTGAACCATTTTTCTCCTCTGAATCTAGAGAGCATTACCATTTGCATGCCCAATTGCTTGTAAGGACCCATACAAGGGAAAACAAGGAAACACTAGAGCTTCTTTTACGCCTGAGGACTAAAATTTGAATCTTCATTAAACTTTCCCTTAACCCATCCCATGCTCGGGTAAAGGGCTAGGTTGTGTTAAGTAGGAAGCCAACACAATATTTTGTCAAAACTTATCATGAATCCTGAACATACATTATCTGCTTATGCTAGGGAGTTCCTGAAAAGCGACTCGCTGTACCAAAACCCGGTTATTTGATTTGGGGGTGTTGGAAAAGAAAGAAGTTTCCAGAAACTATATCGACTTGGTGAGGGATATGTACGATGGAGCGCTAACTAGTGTGCGGATAATTAGTGGACAGACAAGTGAGTTTTCAGTGACGATGTGTCCACATCAAGGGTCAGCATTGAGCTCGTATCTCTGTCTTAGTTATGGACGACTTAACTATGCACCTACAGGATGAGGTACCGTGGTGCATGTTGTTCGCAGATGATATAGGTTTGATCGATGAGATTCGGAACGACGCAACACAAAGTTAGAACTTTGGAGGGATGCTCTAGAATCCAAAGGTTTTAAATTAGTCGGACTAAGACAGAGTATATAGAATGCAAGTTTAGTAATAATAGGAGTAGATACGAGGAAATAGTTAAGATTGACGACCAAGAAGTACAAAAAATACCACACTTTCAATATCTTGGGTTGTTAATCCAGGAAAATGAAGAGATTGAGGAAGATGTCGCACACAGAATTATAGCTGGGTGAGTGAAGTGGAGATGCGCAGCTGAAATTTTATGTAATCGCTACATACCAATGAAGCTGAAGGGCAAGTTCTATAGGACAACTATGAGACCAGCTTTGTTCTATGGGGTTGAATGTTGGGCAGACAAAAAACAATATATC